TTATCTTATAAAACCAGTGGAACTTCAAAATCATTAAAATTCATGGCTACCGCCGCATTGTGCGGATACAAAACTAATAATATAAAAATGTTAAGTATCTTTTTTTAAATAAAAAATGTTACATATCTATATATCATTTTTTATTACTGTGGTTGCGTTTTTTCTTTATAATGAAAAACAAATATTTTTCAACGAAAATATAATATTTAAAGTATTTATATTATGAGAAATTATCAAATAGTAAATTGTATTAAAAAATAACGTATTTTGACTTGATTCCTATTTTGCTTTCATTTTGGTGTCTAAAGCTTTAAACATTTAATTACTCCGGTAATCGGTTGAAGCATTAACTGGTTACCATGCTGATGTGGTATCAAACTCGGTATTATTTGCTATTCAACCCAATTTCATCTCATCACTCGCCACATCAGCACCGGTTAATGTTTCAACCGGTTACCAGGGTACTTAAATGTTTAAAATTTTACATCTAAGGTATCAAAATAGAAGTTTTAAAAGTACATTACCCAAAATAGGAATCAAGTTAATATACGTTAATTTTCCATGCAATTTACACATTATTAAAACTAACTATTTAATATTCTTATATAATCATGTATAGTTATCAAATTATTAAAATCATCATGACATTGGCGCAAAAAATTAAATAGTTATTTAACTCTATAAAATTAATTATTTTTCTTGTATATATGGTCAACTTTTCAGGAAAAAATAATAATTAAATCAATTTTTTATTAACTTAGATATCCAACCCGCTATGTGAGCCGACTAATTTCAAGGCGACCATCTATTTTGCACAGATAGCTCGGACTCACCACATTTGAACCTCCGTGGCTACAAGAGAATTTTTATTCCTCCTTAGATTTGAACCCGGTACCTCCTGGTATTTTTGATCTTTGGAGCCAAACTCAAACCAATCAGGCACCACCCTTGTGGTTAATTAAATCAATTTATAAGTGTGTGTGTATATATATATATATACTGTTTATATATAGTGTATAATGCACAAAGACTGTTCATAAGTCATAAATGTCGAGAATGGAAGCAAGGATTATCTTTGCATGGTTGCTTGTGCTATCGAATGCCATCTCGACGGTGGTGAACGGCACCTATTTCTCCGACAGTCACATAATTAATGCTCCAACCACCATGAAGAAAACCCATCTCCACTTCTTCTTCCATGACATGCTCTCCGGCGACAACCCTTCCTCCGTTCTTGTAGCAAAACCAAATGGCACGGTGGTCGAAGAAGGAAACGTAGGCCCTTTTGGGGCGGTTTATGTGTTCGATGACCCGCTCACAGAGGGAGCTGACCTGAACTCATCAGAGGTTATTGGTAATGCACGTGGACTCTACGCATCGACTAGTCGTGGGTCGGACTTGACATTGTTGCTGAGTGCTGATTTTGAGTTCACAAGTGGTGAGTTTAATGGGAGTTCCATAAGTGTGTTTTCAAGGGATCCGTTGGTGGTGGAGAAGGAGGTGGCGGTTGTGGGTGGCAGAGGCAAGTTTAGGATGGCTAAAGGGTTCATAATTCTTAATGCCATTTACCTCAATGTTACAAATGGTGATGCCATTCTTGAATGTAATGCCACCATTTTTCATGAATAAAAGATGAAATGTCGAGGTTAAGGTTAGGGTTAGGGTTAGAAATGTGGAAAACCCTACCTGTTGATTTAATCTGGATCAAAGATTATTACTGTCAATAAAACAATTTCGGTAATTTTATTGCATAGTTGGGTTTGAATTCTTAATTTCATATTATGAGTTATTCAAATTTTCATAAAAGAAAGTTTGATTATAATATATATATATATATATATATAGAGAGAGAGAGAGAGAGAGAGAGGGAAGATCAAATGTTAACCATCATTTTTGTGTTAACTTTGAAAACCCTCTCAACCAATCAAATTCCATTATTCTTATAGGTTTATGTCTTGTTYATTTTACCCTTACAAGGGTATTCTAGTAAATTGAATTCATTTGTAACCCCCAAATAATTAATGGGGAGTTACAAACAATCAAATCCCAAAAAATATGCATTCATATTACTAAAAAAATTTTACTATTGATCTTCCATGTTTATTCTTGTATTAATTCCTAAATCGCATAAGAAACACGGTAGTAACGATTTTCAGTATTGATCAATTTGAACACAAATAAACCGTGAACACAATTTGAACACAAATGAACAACCGTGAACACAATTTGAACACAACTGAACCGTGAACACAATTTGAACAAATTAACAGATAAACACAAATTAACAGATGCTACCTTAATTTTGTGGGACGTCTATGTATGTGAATATATGGGCCAAAAATTGCACATATCGTGTTCATTTGTGTTCATATCGTGTTCATATCGTGTTCACGGTTCATTTGTGTTCAAATTGTGTTCACGGTTGTTCATTTTTGTTCAAATTGTGTTCACGGTTCATTTGTGTTCAAATTGTGTTCACGGTTGTTCATTTTTGTTCAAATTGTGTTCACAGTTCATTTGTGTTCAAATTGATAAATACCAAAAATTGTTACTACCGTGTTTTTTATGCGATTTAGGAATTCATACAAGAATGAACATGGAATATCAATAGTAAAAAAAATATGAATGCATATTTTTTGGAATTTGATTGTTTGTAACTCCCCATTAATTGTTTGAGGGTTACAAATGAATTCAATTTACTAGCATAACCTTGATAAGTGTATTTTTTCTTACCAAAATGCCCCTTTCATCATTGTTCACAAGGCCTCATTAAAATTCAAACTTTAAAATTTAATTTTTTTTTATTAATCTTAACCGTTGATTATAGATTTGGATGGCCAAGATCAGTTAATAAAGTTAACACAAAAATGATGGTTAGCATTTGATCTTGGCCCGATATAGATATATATAATTTATATACATACACTAGTTTAGATGATGATTAAATGCCTTGGAATGATTGGAGAAGTGGAGTAAATGCTTCTACAGTCGGAGTAAATGAAGAGGGGGGGAAGAAATGAGAGGAAAAGAAATGACGTCAAAAACCCCTAAAATCGCCCCTTTAAAACTGATCCAAGCGCTAAAGCAGGGTTCAAGCCATTTTACCCGTATGGAAAGTCATTAACTACAAAACCTCAACAAACAATACAAAGCGAAGTGGAAAAAGAGAGGAATTAGGTTCTAAACGCCGTTTTTTTAATGATCTAATTTGGGGAAATGCACCTGGTGCCGTAGCTAATAGAGTAGCTCTAGAAGCATGTGTGCTTTGGAAGACAAAGGAGTATGATAAAGATGAGTCGTGGGAGCAAAGATGGAATATTCTATCAGCTTCACTATTTTAGTTATTTTCGTTTTAGTTTAGGGTTTGTTCTTTCTTCGACAGTCCCTTATTTCACAGATACAAACATACCCTAAGGATGGAGGGAGAGGAGTTAATTATTGGTTAAAATAATGTTTTTGATTTCGTTAGAGGGTGTAATTTTGCTTACCACATGTATTAGGAATGTAATAAATATGTTTAAGGATTTTAGTCAAACAAACCACAAAGTGCGGGGAATAGAAATGTAATTTTCTCTTTTAAATATGAATCCTTAAAAAACATCTTCAATATATTCTTTAAAATAAAGAAAATAGAGTTTTTACTTTTTTGATCCAAAATATTCTCCAACATCTCTAAATTTAGAGAACACACAAAAAATAATTACAATAATATATAAATATTATTTAATATATTTTCACAAATAA